TGTGTGTGTGTGTGTGTGTGTGTGTGTGTGTGTGTGTGTGTGTGTGTGTACCCGCATGCACACACAGGTATATGTAGAATATGTGACTGAGACTAAGAAAACTGAAGACCTTATAAGCTGCAAATATTAAAATGCAAACTTCTCTGAATTTTTTATAGACCTTTCTGAAGATCTCGGGGTTGCAGGGTATGGTAGGTAGGTAGGATTCTAAAGGATCACTGAGAAAGCCCTCCACCTGGTGTCTCCTTTGGCCACCATTCTGACCAGCTCACCAGATCACTTGTGACCAAGAGCTGAAGACTTGCTTCTTTCAACAGACAAGCTCCGTTCAGGCTCAGTATGTAACTCCAAGGCTAAACATTGACTGTGGGGCCAGCTTCCAGCACTGGATCTGCCTGGAAGCCTGCTCCAGGTGTCAGAAGGGGGTGGAATGGAGGAGATGGAGGGGATGGAGGGGTGTAAGGGGAGGAGGAGAGGGCCTTTTGTTTCTCCTTTGAATCTTGGGGGACCCTATAGAGCACACCCCAAAGAAAGAATGGAATTCACTGGCAGGCCGTAGGTCTTAAGGCCTAAGAGACAGAGTAATAGGGAATTGCAACATTTGAAGAAAAGTAGCAAGTAAAATTTAAAAGTTGTTTTGTTTGGAAATACATTGTAATGCCTCTTCCTACTTCTGCCAAGGTTCTCTCTAATCCTCTGCAAGTCAGTTAGCCATTTGTACTTCCCTTTTCAATGTGAAAATGGGAAAAATTGACCTTGGAGTCAGCAGGGCCTGTGTTCAAACCATCAGGCACTTACCAGCTCTGAGACCCTGGGCAAGTCATTTAGCCACGATTGTCTCAAAAAAAAAATGGGATAAAAATCATAGTTACCTTCACTACACACCTCACAAAAGAAATAAAGCAGAGAAGTTGTCTAGCCCACCCATTTCTTGGCCATCATGTACTGAGACTGCGACCTCTCCAGAGGGAAATAGGACATTTTCCCCAGGGTCCTTGGGTAACAGCTAATTTTTGAACTTTTCTTGGGTAATGGAGAGAAGAGGAAGCAAAAGTAGCATGAGTGGCTGCCAAATCCAGAGAGGGGCCTGGTTGTTTATGCATCTTCATAGTCTGTTCACAAAAGTTGTTTCACGTAGTCTTGGCTATATTCACCTCCATCCGTAACCAGGCTGGTATGCAAAGAGAAGCAGCTTTCCTGTGTATTCTCACACCTAAAAACTGTCCCTAACATCCTTCTATCTCGCATAAATCCTTCCTGCTGTTGTGTGTTTCCCTCTCCATCTTTATTTTAATTAACTGTATGACCTTGGGCAATTCATTTCTCTTCAGTAAAGGGGCTCAGGTTGCTTCTCAGCACATTGACAGGTTTGGACAAGAAGATCTCAAAGGTCCCTTCCAGCTGTAAAGTTTGTGATCCTAATATCCTGGATATTATTTCAGGGGAATTTAAATACAACCAAAAGAAACATGCTACCCTAGTGGAATGAGGTTAAGTTTTGGGCCCTGGAGCACCCATGTAAAAATTGCAGGAAGGAGCTCTTGCCCATCCTTGGATAACTGCAAAATAAAATGACATGGGGCTCTCCTTGCTGGTTAGGGTCACTTGAGTGTCATATCTATTAGAAGATGGAAATTCCAGGACGGTTTTGAACCAATCATTTTATTTATGTTATCGGAAGGTGGATCTATGGTAAAGAGTTATTGGGTTTTGCATTTGACCTACTACCCTAGTTTTGTTTTTAAAACCATCATGGAAAGTTTTAAGTTCTGCACTGAAAGCTCTAGTTCTTGAACTTAATTTTTCCTTTCTTATTTTATAAATTTTCTTTCTCTTTTGAACCATTCTGGGATTTTTTGCTCATGTTCTATGATCTCTGGGTGATCTATAGGATTCTGTCATTTGTCAGACAATTTCACAAAATCATAAACACAGAATGTGAGAGTTTCTGGGGACCTCTGCGGCCAGGGAGTCCAGTTGATACCTAAATGACTCACAGCTTGACAAGTGATCCTCCTTCCTCTGCTGAAAGATCTCCAAGGAGAGGCAGCTCCACTTCCTCCCAAGGGAGTGCATTCCACTCTTGGACAGCTCTCATTGTTAGGAATTTGTACTGACATCAAGCTCAGTTTGTCTTCTTGCAACTGCTTTTAGATCTTCACTCAGGCCAAACAGAACCAAACACATCCCTCTTATATACAGCAGCCTTGAAATATTTGATTATAGCTATGATATCTGTTGAAGAAAAATATTAATACTAATAGTGGATTCTGCAATTATGGCTCAAGTCTGTCAGGAGTCATTTTATTCAACATATCATTAAACTCTATCCAAGTTAACTGAGAGAGAGAGAGAGACAGAGAGAGAGTTCTCATGCCATCTGACATGGCTCTCTGCCTCAAGATAAGTTTTGATAAGATTTATAGGAGTCTTGAACAAAGAAAAGATATCTGAAAATACAGTCTGGGTTAATATTCCAGCGTTGTTGAGTAACTGAGTTGCCATCCTGTTCTCTCTAGGACCACTCCCCACACTCTAGGAGCTAAAACAAAGGGACTTCCTCAGTGCCATTGATATCTTCATCCTTTCTCCACTGAGAAGGATGTGTCCTTGTGCAAGGATCAGTGTAGGTGGCCAGGTAAAGAAGAGAGAGCTCTCTGCTGGGTAAATAACCAAATCACTTCAGTGGGAGGAAAAGCAGACATCCATCCCACACCACGCACCCTCTGAAACCTCTTACAATTACATGGTAGTTTTGTTGTCTTCCTAACTTCCCTGAACAACCATTCTGTCATGCTCAGGGACCTTCTACAGCTTCTCATAACTCTAAGCAAACTTCCAAATTCACTTGCTTTGTTCCTGCTGGGGCACCTATCTCCCTACCTCCTTCCAGCTACCCATAGCTTCCTGAGGCTCTGGGTCCACACCCTGAGGCTGAATCCCTGTGGTAAATGATAACCTCCCTGAACTCATTCCTCAAACCTACTCCCACTCTGCAATTCCCTTTTCATCCCAATAATTCTAACCCCTCTTTGCTATTATTCAAACCCTGTTGTCTGTCCCCTACTGACCACTTCCTTTTTCCCATCTCTTTCAATCCCTCTTTCTCTACCTCCTGTTCTACAGCTACTTAACCCTTCCCCTTCACACTCTGGATAGGTTAAAAAAAATAGATTTCATCTTCTATATTTTCCTTTCCTGGTCCCTCTATCCTGTACTCACTGGACCTGACTCCCATGTGGTGACACAGCTTCCTTAGCCACCCTTTCTAGCTCTCAATGCACTTTCACTCATAACTCCAGACCAAGTAGTCAGGAGTTCAAATACTCTTTGCTACCCCTTGCCACCTCCAGGTTCTCCCTCTACCACCATGACTCTAACCTCTTCCTTTGAGGTTCATTCAATCCACATTTATCATCCAATCAAGATTCTGGTGGCTGTTGTCTACCGATTTCTTGGATGCTCTCCTTTCTTTTTCCAAGACTTTAGTGACTATCTCACAGTCTTCTTACCCGTACTGGGCTTCTTACCTTCATACTAGAGGTTTTCAACCTATATCTTGATACTCCTAGTTCTTCAACTTGCTCAACTCAGCTCCACTTATTTTGCCATCACCTAGAAATGTACCACTTTCATGTTTATGAACTGAAATGCCCTTACTTGATCCCAATCTCTTGTCCTTCCATCTTTCCTTCTGCCTTACAACTCCAAATCTTGTTTTTCATCCTCACTGGAATCTTCAATTCCTCCATCCATCAGTTCTTTCCCAGACCATTGCTCCTGTCCTGGCTACACTCTCTTCCCTCCCCCAACTTGAGTCAGTTCAACTCAACACTGTCCTCTTCTCTTAAGTCTCTTTGTCCTATCATTGATTGTTCCCTGCCAAGCTTCAGCCTTAGATTACTCCTACAGTTTGCTCCTTCCACTCCTACTCACATGCAACTGAAAGAAAGTGGAGACAGTCTGATGTTTATCCTGATTTTTAGTCTCATATCTCCAATTGCTTATTGGACATCTTGAACTGGATGTCCCACTGACATTTTAAATTGAACACGTTCAGAACTGTATCATCTTTCCTTCTAACCCCTCCCCTCTTCCTAACTTCCCTGTTATTGCCAAAGATAATTTCCCACCTTCCCGGGCTTACAACCTTGGTATGACCTTTGGCCGTTCATTCTTTCTCATTCTTCATATACAATCTGTTGCCAAGTCCTGTTAATTTATCTTCAAAACATGTCTCATACTGGGGCAGCTAGGTGGCACAATGGATAAAGGCACTGTCCCTGAAGTCAGGAGGACCTGAGTTCAAATCCAGCCTCAGACTAAACACTTGACACTCGCTAGCTATGTGACCCTGGGCAAGTCACTTAACCCCAATTCCCTTAAAAAAAGAAACAACAAATTGTCTCTCATATATGTTCCTTCTTACCTTTTGACACTGCTGCCATCCTGGTTCTGGGTCTCATCGTCTCAAGCCTGGACTATTGTAATAACCTTCTGGTTGGTCTCCCTTCGTCAACTCTCTCCCTTTCTCCTGTTCATCCTCCATTTAACTGTCAAATTGGTCATCCTAAAATCCAGTTCTGACCATGCTGCCTCGCTATTTAATAAACTTCAGTGGCTCCCTCTTGCTTCCAGAATCAAATATAAAATCTGTTTGTTGTTCAAAGCTCTCTATAACCTGGCACTTTTCTACCTTTTCAGTCTTCTTATACTTTATTCCCTTCCAAATACCTTGTATCCATTTGCACTGGTCTTGTTGCTGTACCTATCACATGACACTCTTCTTCCTGACTAAACATTCTCACTGACTGTTCTCCATGTTTGGAAACATTTTTTTCCTCATCTCAACCTCCTAAGTTTACTTGGCTTTTCTCAAGCCTAAACTGAAATCCCACATTTTGTAAGAAGCCTTTCCCAGTCCTCCATAATTGTAGTTCCTTCCTTCTGTGAATAATTCCCTGTAATCATGTATGTATGTATATATATATATATATATGTATACATATATATATATGTTTGTACATAGTTACCCATAATCTCCCAGTTCTTGAGAGTAGAGAATATTGTTTTTATTTTGTGGCCTCTATGCATTTTGAGACCTTAGTACAGGGGCTCACCCATAGTAGGTGCTTAACAAATGCTTGTTGATTTGAAAAGTTAAGAGTTAAGTTATAAGCCTCAATCCATTTCCTTAAGAAACTCTTTCTTGTCCTCTACCTATCAACCCACTTCCCAGTGGGTTTTCCCTAGAATTATGGAAAGAGTTGTAGAGAAAAATATTATTTCTTAATATTTTTAGGGCAATTAAAAAGGAGATTTTTTTAAAAAAAAATATGTTTCTACAAATTCCTCTTGAGCCTTCTCTTCTCCAGACTAAACATCCCCATTTCCTTTAATTTTATGTACTCAAGCCCTTCACCTCCTCTGGACACTCTCAGGTTTAGCAATATCCTTCTTAATTAGTTGCAGGTAGAATTTAATGCAACACCAAAATGTATTTTTAATCTAGATACTATATTAGAAATGATCAGTTGGTTCCTTTTGAACTAATATGTTGCTAAATCTTTAATATTAAAACATATCAAAATGTTCCATAGTAATTAAAAGTTTTATGTTTAAGGGTTAAGAGACCTGGAAAACATAAAAAGGAGCCTTTGGTTTAAACAGAAAAAAAAAGTCTGTGAATTGCTTTGTCACTTCTATTTCATGATAGAATAGTCTGATGAAATTTTCTAAATGCTGAATTTTCCTCAGTTGCTTCAGCAAGCTACAGATATGGATCATCAAGAAGGACTCCATGACCAACAACTAGGTAAGGAAAGGATCTGTGGGGAAGGATTCTTTCCCCCACATCACAAACTATCTCTGTAATGGTGGTCTTGCAGTGTCTGCACTTGGGGGGGAAATTGTCCCTTTTAGTGACTATTCCTGAATTTCAAGTAAACTGGTAACAGGTGACAGTAGATAAATGTGTCACCACAGCCCAGTGGAAAGACTGCTAAATTTAAAGTCATGGAACCGAAGTTTGAATATAAGTTCTGTTAATTAAGTTACTGCCTAAACTAATTTCTCATGGCCTCAGTTTCTTTGACTGTATAATTAAAGGGCTGAACTTCCCCAGGTGATTACTCCTGCTTTGGCTATTACCTTCTCCATTCCCAACTGTGATGTTTTTGTTAACTCCATACCCTATTCTTTCTGTTAAGTTCTTTGCTTCCACTTGTCATAACCCAACTCTAGATTATTCCCACAATCTATCTCCTTTGCTTCTACTTCTATCTACTGAATAGAGTAAGTAGAAGTCATGCAGCTGTGTTGATTGGCTCCACTAAAAATTCATGTGATATCTTTCCTATTGGGACCTCCTTGCAGGGATTCAATCTTCTATTTTCCTCCAACTTACTTCCTATTCCTATTCAATCCCCAAAGAAGCTGTTCCAAACCTTCCATTCTCTCCCATACCACTCACTCACCTCACTCTCTCAGCTGGGGACTTTACCTCATACTTTTTTGAGAAAATGGAGGTCATTTGGGGCAGCTAGGTGGCACAGTGGATAGAGCACCAGCCCTGAAGTCAGGAGGACCTGAATTCAAATCCAGCCTCAGACCAAACACTTGACACACTTACTAGCTGTGTGACCTTGGGCAAGTCACTTAACCCCAATTGCCTTAAAAAAAAAGAAAATGGAGGTCATTCACTGGGAGTTCTTTTTCACATCTCACAACCCTTTTACATCACCTCCTACTATCATATTCATTAATCCTGTTTCTGATAAGGCCTTGGCCCTTTTCCTCACCAAAACCAACAACTTCTACATATATCTTTAATCCCATCACCTGCCATCTCCTCTAGCAGATTACACTATCACCTCCCTTTATCTCTGTAAGACTCAATTTCTCCCTATTTACTGGTTCCTTCTCTGCTACTTATAAATATGCATACATCTTTTACATCCTTAAAAATAGCTTATTAAATCTTCCCATCTCTTCAAGATACATCTAGAATTTCTACTCCTTTTCTCAAACTTCTTGAAAAATCTGCCTACACTTGCTGCCATCACTTCTTCTCCTCTCCCTTTTTTGTTAAAATGTTTGCAATCTGGCATTTGACCTCATTGCTCAGATGAAACTTCCCTTCCAGGTAGGGTTGTTGTGAGAATAAGAAGAGATGATATTTGTAAAGAATTTCATAAAACTTATAGTGTTATATAAATGCTAACTTATTACTGGCAGTAGTATATGTTAGTATTATTAGTATATATTAGTATAGTTGTACCTATATACACACACAAGTTACCTCCAATGGTTAGAATATAAGCTCATCTAGGACTGCTTCACTTTTGTCTTTTGTTACCCCAACACTAACATTAACATCCCCTTCCTCCAACATTAACAATAATCTCTTAATTGCCAAACTCAATGAGCTTTAATTAGTTCTCATTCTTTTTAACCTCTCTGCAGCATTTGACACTTTTGGCCACCCTCTTCTCCTGGATATTCTTTCCTCTCTGGGTTTTGGCAACACTTATTTCTCCTAGTTCTACTCCAACCTGTCTCAGCAGTCCTTCTCAGTCTCTTTGGCTAGATCATAATCCCTAACATGCCTCCTAAATGGGGGTAGAACCTAATACTCTGTCCTGGTCACTTCATTATTCAATGACCTCATCAGCTCCCATCATTTAAACTACCATCTCTATGCTGGTGACTCCTTGATCCATATATCCACCTGGAATCTCTCTTTTGAGTTCCAGCACCACATCACCCATTTCCCATTGGTCAGTTCAAAATGGATGACTCATAGGGATCTTAAAATCAGTAATACAATTAAAACAGAACTCATATTTTCCCAAAATCCATCCCCTCTTTCAAACTTTCTATTTCTGTCTTGGGCATCACTATTTTCCTCATCATTCAGGTACAAAATACAAAGTCGTCCTTGATTCTTTAACCTCACCAACTACAGATCTTCAATAAGTGGAAGAATCTTGTTGTTTTTCCTCCATGGGAATCCTTGTCCTTTCCACTCACAAGCCACCAGCTTAGATCAGGATCATAATAGCCTCCTGTGTTAGTCTCCTTGCTTCACCTCTCCCACTTCCCTCCATCTTCTGTGCAGCTGCCAAAGTGATTTTCCTAAAGCTCATCATCACCTCCCTTCTCCCATCCCTGCTCAATAAATTCCAGTGGCCCCCATAAGTTTTAGGATCAAATACAGCCTCCTCTTTGGGACATTTACATCACTTCACAACCTGGAACCAACTTAAATTTCTACCCTAATTAGACATTCCTGCAGTCCATAGATTCTAAAGTCCAATGAAACAAGTTCTCCCACTGTGCTGTTCCTCACACATGACGCTTTGTCTGTCTCTGGCTATCCTCTTTCTACTTCATCCTTACCACTGCCCCTTGGAAGTTTGTTTTTGTTTGTTTGTTTTGTTTTTGCAAACACCACCCTCAGCATGAGGCTTTTTCTAGTTCACCTCATTTCAAGTACCTTCTGGCTTTGGCAGTTAGGTGGTGCAATGGATAGAATACTGTACCTGAAGTCAGGAAAACCTGTGTTCAAAACTAGCCTCAGACATTTAGTAGGTGTGTAACACTGGGCAAGTCACTTAAAGTCTGTCTCTGTCAGTTTCCTCATCTAGAACATGGGGGAAATAATAGCACTATAACTCCCAAGGTTGTGACAATAAGATGAGATAATATTTGTAAAGCCTTTTGTAAAACTTAAAGTGTTATATAAATGCTAATTTATCATTGTCTTGGCTTTTATCATGATTCCAAGCTCACTCACCAAGTAACCCTGAATGTGTTTGTATGTGTTTGGTATATAGCTATATATGCGTATGTTCTCTCCTAGGTTAGAATATAAGCTCATCTGGGACTGTTTTGATCATGTCTTTGTCATCTCCCACACATAGCACAGTGAATGGCAGAGAGTGAGCATTTAGTAAATGATTATCAATTGGTTGATGGGATTAGATGGCTTGAAATCCCTTCCAACTCTAGATGTATAATCCTAGGATCTTGTGCTGCAGGTGAAGCTGAGATCACACTAATTGAGAACTACTGACTTAGACTTCTGCTTCACTGAGAAGATTGAAACTGCCCAACTTAAGCTCTCTTATCTCAGTCCTCAGAACTCACCATCATAAGTCACTCTTTTCTCCTCCCTTCTGGTCCCATGAAATATGGTATACTTATTCCTCACTAATTTTCTCTACCTGAGTTCTCTACACCACTTTCTCTATCTGATCCCTTATTGACATTTTCCCCTACCTCTAAGATTTTATTCCAACAATCTCTCTCTTTCATCCTTCCTCAGTTTTGACAATGCTGAAGTGAAGTCCTTTGGTCAGGTCCCAAGTCCTGCTTAATTCCTGATGAATATGGTTGCCATTTACTGTGAAAGGTAATTAATGAACAGGTCTGGTTTTCTTTTTTCCAACAGGGTCTGGGTACAGGAAAGAGCATGAGCAGGATAATGACATAGACGAACTGAGGATTCTGCTTGTAGGGAAACATGGTTCAGGAAAAAGTGCTGCAGGAAACAGAATCCTGGGCAAGCGTGTGTTTGAATCCAGATTCAGTGAGCAGCCAGTGACCCAAGAGTGCAAGACAGAGCAGCGAACCTGGAGACACAGAAAAGTTGTGCTCATTGACACTCCAGATATCTTTTCCCAAAGACATTCCCAGAAACAGCTGGACCATCTCTCCTCTGTGATCTCTCCAGGCCTGCATGCCCTCCTCCTAGTGACCCCACTGGGCTTCTACACAGAGGAAGATGAGACAGTGGTGGAAAACATCAAGAAGGTTTTTGGAGAGAAAGCTCTCAAGAGACATGTGATCATTCTGTTCACCCGGCAAGAAGACTTCACAGGAAGAGACCTGATGGTGTTCATAAAGAATGCAGATAAACGTCTTCAGAAACTCATTTGGGACTGTAGATTTCAGTACTATGCTTTCAATTACCGGGTCACTGGAAAGGAGGAACAACATCAAGTAAAAGGGCTCTTGGAGGAGATCGACAAAATGGTAGAAAGGAATGGAGGTCAGCATTTTATCTTTAGGAAGTCTGTTATTAGAGCTAGCAGGAAAATAAAATGCAGAAACTCTAAAGAATGTAGTCTGAGGAGAGAGGGAGAAGTGGAAAAAATGTATACATTAGCAGGAAATGACCCCAAATCAAGCCTCTTTTGATTTTTCTAACTTTTTACCAATCTCTTCTCTGTCATCATCCCTTTACAATCTGTCTCCTTTCATTATTTTCTGTCTCCTATTATTTTCTAGTCATTTTATTTGGGTCAATCTCATTTCCCCAACTACATTGTGATAGAAATCTGTGAATAAGAGAAACTGAGGCATAAAGTTCCAAGCATAATCAGTTTTCTAGGAAAGCTAGCAATTGCCAATAAATGAGGTTAGTGACTTCTCAGCAGTCCAGATTTGGGGTGTGCAAAGATTATTTTATAGTCATAAAAGAAGAATTAGACAAGTGCAAGATCCTCAAGAAATTTGTTCTGATTGTATTTTCTTTGGCTGGGATATGACAAAAGACCTATATTTAGACTAGGTACATCCTGGATGATTCTGAGGTTATGAGAAAGAATCTGTTGTTGAATTTGGAGGGGAGTTGGAATCATAATAGAAATCTGTTCACTGTCTGGCTTCAGAGAAGCTCAGCTCTGTAAAAAATGAGAAACTATGTAATCTACTACAGTGAACACACACATGCACACACACATACATCTTTCTTATACTAACAGCTGTCTTATAAAACCTAAATTGAATCAACAGGATAATCAATACCACCTTCACTCAGGATTTTTCATTATTTCTTTCACTCCTTGAGGACAAGGATCATTGTCTCTACTCATCTCAATGTCCCTCAATAGCTAGCACTCTGTCTCTCATACAGAACTATAGCTTAAGTGTCAGAAGAGAACATAGATCTCCATCTACTATGCTAAGTCCCTCATTTTACAGGTGAGGAAAATGAGGCCCAAAGTGAGTAAATTGTTCTGAGTCATGAAACTAGAACATGACAAAGTCAAGATTTGCACTCAGGTCCTCAGATTCCATATTCAGGATTCTTTGCATCTGCCCATACTGTCTTTAATAATAGTTTTCAATAAATTCTGACTGGCTGATTCTTTGGGATCTAAGTCCCATTGCTACCCGTCCCTCTAAGTTCTCCCATTTCTCTTTCATCCGTTTTCTTTTCCTGCTTTCCCATCTCTTTGTAGGTTGTTTAGAGCTTCTGGCTCTGGGAGAGGGGTGAGAAGAAAGAGGCAGAAGGGCTTTAAGGAGGCCCTGACTCCAACAACCTTTGGCCAAGAATCATTAGCTAGACATAGTCTTGGACCCTAGGTGTTCTTCAGAAACAGGATAAAGACTATTCCCAACAGGGAGGTCAGTACTTTTACTTTCAAGAAGTCTGTCTTTGGGATGGATTTTTAAAATTTTCAGAGATTCTAGAGAAGGGAGAAAACCCCACAGGGAATAAGGTATGGTGAGAAAGTATGTACACTCTAGCACAGAGGATTTTAACCTTTTTTATTCCATGGACCTTTTTGATAATCTTATGGAACCTATTGACTCCTTCACTTAATTGTGATTTTAATGTATATAATAAAACACACAGGACTAGCAAGAAAACCAATTAGATTGAAAAATAGCTTTCAAAATATTTTTAAATGTCCACAAATCCTAGGTTAACATCTCCTGTTCTAGAGAGATATGGTCAGGTCTTCCCTTTCATCAATATTTCTCAGTATCCCAAATCTTATTTCTCTCTTCTATAACTAAATTGAATGACATCTTTTCCCTTCTCTGGGATTTGCTTTTCTCATCATTCACATGCAAAAATTGGACTAGATGATTTCTGGGGTCTCATCTACCTCTAGTAGTTCATAGAGAGTATGATTTATTGATCCATCCACATTGTATATTTTACTGACCTCAGTTTAGCTTGTGACCAGTTAAGCTCTACCCTTCATAATCTCTGCTATTGCTGCACACTTGTTCTAGAGCAGGCCTAATTCCTTCTAAGTGACTCTTAAGTCTCTAGGCAACTTTTAAAATAATATATTGTACACTTATCACATACACAATGCAATGGTGGTATTATAAGAGAACAATGGAAATGTAAAGCATAATTCCAGGTCTAAAGGTCCATGTTGGGAGAGAAAAAAATATACCCAGATGAAGAAAATAGTATGCAGGAGAAGAGAAAGTTTCTATAACAGGAAACCTAAATTAGGAGTCCATAGAAAGGAACCATCACTCTTGGTTTAATGGATAGGGCAGGCTTCATGGAGAAGCTGACTTAAAAGTATCATTAGGCCTCAAGTGGCAGGTAGGATTTGGGCAGAGGGGAGAGAATTTAGGAGGGAAATCTATTCAGGCTCAGGGGGACCACATAAACAGAGGAAGGAGAAAGTATAACTTTTTCAGGAGACCTATAGGAGAGTTCTCTGACTGGAGCAGAAGGATAATATTTATGAGGTAGCTATATTGGACATAAATTATTAAGTGACTTGACTTTGGACTTTATCAGACAAACAAAAGAGTCATTTTCATTTCTAGGGCAGACTGGGTGAAAGCATTGTTTGAGAAAGAAATGTTTGGATTTTTTTCATGATCTGAGTTTGAGCATAATATAGCCAGGATGGGGACCAGTAGTAACAACAACCACAACAATAGTGATAATAACAACATTAATAATTTGCATTCAAAAGTGATGAAAATGGTAATCACTGATTGCCTTTAGGATAGCTTCAAAGTGGTATTCTAGGGGCAGCTAGGTGGCACAATGGATAGAACTCTGGCCTTGGAGTCAGGAAGACCTGAGTTCAAATCTGGCCTCAGACACTTGAAGCTTACTAGCTGTGTGACCTTGGGCAAGTCACTTAACTTTGATTACCTCACCAAAAAGAAAAAAACAAAAAAAAAAACAAAGTGGTCTTCTAAATATTCTACAGCAGAAGTCTATCTTAAAGGGAGATTTCGTGGATAAGAACTAGGGCAATCGTAAGAGAAAACACAGAAGAATGCAGCACAGAAAATTCTTCACCTCTAAGTTCCAAAGCTCAAATAATTCAAATTTTCTTTGTCATTTACAGTGATAGTTTGCATTCATCATGATGACTTGAAGTGACCTAGAGATTATGAATCATCAAAGAATTTAATTATGTTCAACATATTTCCATCTGAAGTACTTCTTAGTGTATTTTAATTTTAGAAAGTTGAGAATTCTTTGATAAGACACACTTGTATAATCCCTATCATGTTTTCAAAGAAAACAATGAATACTGTACTCTGTGTTATAGGCACATTTCTACCAGAAACAATTTCTATTCATTTAACACTGATCTAAATCCAAACATTTCTAGCTTAGAAAAAGAAAAGTTCAAACTGACATAGTTCCTTCTTCTCTCTCCCATCCTAAATCCCTTGGATATCACTCTACTCCAAGATTATTGGAGGTAACAATTATAGGAATGTTGAACATGGAGAATGTCACAAAATGACAAATCATTGTTTTGACCTTAGCATTCTGCTTCATCTAATGGAACAAGAGTGATTTGATCTTTTGGAACTACCCTGGAGAACACTCCTCAATCCCAACTGCCAGACTCTTAGTCTTTGCCTTTTCTACACATATTTTTAAAGGGAAAATTCTGGAAAGCATTTAGAACTATGGGAAATATTACTCCTTAATATTCTTAATTGAACTAAAGCAGAAGTTTTTAATCTGCTTCCACAAGGTAAACTGGGTTACCAGCTTACTCTGTATATCATTGTTCCATCTCTTCTTTCACAATAACATCATTAATAGATTATAACCAAACACCATCACAAAGGTGTCAACCATATTGTTATAGAATTTGCCGTACAGCTCTTTAGTTACTTGTCCAGGATGCCAATCATCCTTATGGAATTTACTAACCATGTAATGCTTCTTCCTCTGACTACATTAGATTTGTTAGTCAATAAGCAGTGCCCGGGCACTGTGCTAAGTACTAGAGATACAAAAAGAGGCAGAACACATCCCATACCTTCAAGGAGTTAACCCAGTGATAGCTCACATTAGGTGAGGTGTAAGAGAAATGAAAGATTCCCCCTCTGCTGTCTCTGTCTCTGTCTCTCTGTCTCTGTCTCTCTCTCTCCCTCTCTCTGTCCCCCCTACATACATACACACACACACATACAACACAAACATATACGGGATGGTGTGTAGGCAAATATTTAACAACTATCTCTTTAAAACTTTAATTTGCATTATTAACCTTTTCTCCATCATTTTCTTAAGTCTAGACAATCAACAAAACAACTGAAGCCCTGATGTATAGTATTTGCTGATTTCAGAGGTGTTAATGCCCACATTGAAAATATTTAAAACATATTTTTATTGATTTCTTCTGTTTTTATACCACATTGGTTATTCCCAATATCACTCCTCCTCTCATTCTGACAATGCTATCACATATAACAAATAGTATTTTTTAAAGAGGAAAAAATCATCACAAGTAATTGATAGATTCAAAAAGTGCAAGAAAAAATATGCAATGTTTAACATTTGTGGACCCCTCCACCCCATGAAGGGGTAGTTTGGGGGTGTGTTCTCATATTTCTTCATTCAAGTCATGCTTGATCTTAATAATTTTTTATGCATTTACCTTTGATTTCTTTCATATGTGGTAGTTCTTTTATTTGCATTGTTGCAGCCATTATGCACACTGTTTTCTTGGTTCTGCTTACTTCACTTTACATTAGTTCACACAGATCTTTTCATTCTTCTCTGTACTGATCACAATACTATTTCTTATATGACAATAATATTCTATTACATTTATGTACCACAATGTGTTTATCTATTCCCCAATTGATGGACATCTCTTCTATTTCCAATTCTTTGCTCTCATAAAAAGTGCTGCTGTAAATGTTTTGGTACACTTGGGGCCTTTCTTCTTATTGATAGCTTCCTTGGGGTATAAGGCAAGTAATGGGTTCAAAGAATTTGAGCATTTCAGTCGCTTTGTATAATTCCAGATAACTTTCTGAAATTGTTGGATCCTTTCACACTTCCATCAACAATGTATTATTCACACTGAAATTTTAACAACTGCACCAGTTTGATTCAAAATGGCTCTAGCACACCCTGGAATGTATGTATGTAAAATACATACATATATGTATGAGTTCATATATATGATTCACATGTACATATATCAACATAAAAAATAAATGCATGTATGGTATATAAATGGACTCACACATATATAGAAAGAGAAATAATTTCTCTCTCCCTCCCTCTCCTCCTCCCCCCTCTGTGTGTGTGTGTGTGTGTGTGTGTCTATCTTTCTCTCTCCATTCCCCAACACACAGACCAAATCTCAGTTAAATTCCAAAAAGCTTCAATAGGTTACATGATTTTCTTTAAAAATAAAATTGCTGTACTAAAGTCAATACAAAAAGAAAATCTCTTATGACAATTTTGGGATCCTTTCTGACTCTGTAATTGTAGGATTCAAATACTCCCATAGCCTCTGTTTTGACCATGATAAAGTGAGGCCCCTTGGTCAGATCCTAAGTCCTGCCTAAGTAATGACAAACTTGGTTGCCATTTGTGGGAAAAGGCTCTTAATTAACATGTCTGTTTTATCCCAACAGGGATTGAGCACATGATAGAGCCCAAGCACATGATACAGCCCAAGCAGGACAAAGAGATGGATGAATTGAGGATTCTTCTTGTGGGGAAACATGGTTCAGGGAAAAGTGCTGCGGGAAACAGCATCCTGGGCAGGCGTGTGTTTGAGTCCAGACTCAGTAAGCAACCAGTAACCCAAGTGTGTAGCAAAGAAGAGCGGATTTGGAGACAAAAAAAAGTTGTGCTCATTGACACTCCAGATATCTTTTCCCAAATGGACTCCCAGAAAGAGCTTCACCATCTTGCCTCTCTATGCTACCCAGGCCTGCATGCCCTCCTCCTAGTGACCCTTCTGGGCTCCTACACAGAAGAAGATGAGACAGTGGTGAGGAACCTCAAGAAGGTTTTCAGAGAGGAAGCTCTCAGGAACCATGTGATCATTCTATTCACCCGAAAAGAAGATTTGGCGGGAAGGGACCTGATGGAGTTCATAAAGACCATGGATAAACCTCTTCAGAACCTCATTTGGGGATGTGGATTTCAGTACTATGCTTTCAGTTACCAAGTCACAGAAGAGGAAGAACAACTCCAAGTGAATAGGCTTCTGGAGAAGATCAACAAAATGAAGTGTGACAATGGAGACCAACTTTGTATCTTTGCTACTAGACCTGGTAGGAAAATAAAGTGTGGAAACTCTAAAGAAAGGGGGCTGAGGGAAGAAAGAGGAATAGAAAGAATGAACACATTGGAAAGAAATCTTTCCAAATGAAGCCTTTATTTTTCTTCTCACTTTTCACCAATCTCTTCTCTGCCATCAGCCTCCTATAGCCTGTCTCCTACAGTTTAACATTTCATTACATCTTGCCTCTATTGTTTTCTAATTATTTTATGTAGGTCAATCTCATTTCTTTTTTTTAATTTTCAATTTATGGAATAAAACAAATATTTCCATAACATAGTACAATAAATAAGATGATTGTACATGAAACTGCAATCTACTATGCACAACTTGCTACTGCTTTTAAATATACAATAAAATTGTCATTAAATTTCTTTTTTTCTCTTACCTCTCCATCCCCAACCTAGAGATAGCTATCTTCAGACACAAATGAGTGTGTATACGTATATGTATGTATGCATGAATATATGTATGTAAAAGTATTCCATACACATTTCTATTTATTAATTCCTTCTCTAGATCCAGATGGCATCTTTCTTCCTATGTACTTTGTAATAAATTTGGGCATTTATGATAGTCAAAATAACTTTTCAATGAGTTTTTTCTTCAGTGAATTTTTGTGCCTCTTTTTCCATTTGGCCAATTTTAATTTTTAAGACATTCTTCTCCTCATTGGCCTTTTGTGCCTCTTTTACAATTTAGCCCAGTCTGTTTTCTAAAGTGTTATTCTCTTCAGTAATTTTTTTGTGTCTCCTTTACCAAATTGTTGGCTCATTTTTTCATGATTTTATTGCATCACTCTCATTATCTTTTCCCAATTTTTCCTCTACCTCTGATTTTCAAAATCCTTTTTGAGCTCTTTCATGATCTGAGCTGAATTCATATTTTTCTTGGAGGCTTTGGATGTAGGACCTTTGACTTTGTTATCTTCTTCTGAGTGTGTGTCTTGATCTTCCTTATCACCATGGTAACTTTCTATGGTCAGATTTTTTTGTTGTTGTTTTCTCACTTTCCCAGCCTATTTCTTGACTTTTAACTCTTTATTAAAATAGTTCATTCAGTAATTTATTAAAGTTGATCAGCTCTTTTCAGATATATTTCTGGGAACCTGTAAGTGTTCTGAGGGGTTTTAGGGAGAACTCAGTTGAGTACCTTCTTTTTCTCCACCATCTTGGCTCCACCCCCTTGATGCTATTCATTCTTACTAACCATGTAATTCTGCCTCTCCTGATAACATTGGGCCAGTCAGTCAGTCAATAAACATTTATTAAGTGTCTACTATGGCCAGGCACTGTGCTAAGCACTGGGGGGGGGAAAGATGCAAAAGACATTCCCTACCTTTAAGGAGTTAAAAATCCAATGATAGCTCACATTCAGTAAGGTGTAAGAGAGATAAGAGATTCTTGATGTGTCTCTGTGTGTGTCTCTCTCTTTATGTCTCTCTCCCCCCACACACACACATACACATAAACACACACACACATACATATACACAAGCAGTTCTATGCTGGCAAATACTTAACAATTCTTTCTCTGTGAATGAAGCATTTTAAAAGTTTAATCTGTGTTATTAACATTTTCTCCATCATTTCTCAAGTCTGGACAATCAAAACAATAAAGCTCTGATTCATAGCATTTGCCAGTTTCAGAGTTATAAATACATTGAACATTTTTCAAATTAATTTTTATTTACACTTTCTGTTTTTACTCCATCATAGTTATGCCTAATATCCTTTCCTCTCTTCCTCCCAATGAACTTTCCCATTTAATAAATATTTTAATATTTGCTATATAACAATATTTTCCTATAACAAATATTTCTCATGTAATGAAGTTTTTAAAGAGGAAGAAAATCATCACAAGTGATTGATACATTCAAAAAGTACAGGAAAACATGTAAAATGTTTTGTGGACTCCCCCCCACCTCCATGAAGGGGTAGTTTGGGAGTTTCTTTTCATGTCTCTTTATTCAAGTCATGCTTGATCTTAATAATTTTATTGCATTCACCTTTGATTTTTTTTCCTGTGCAGATGTTCTTTCTATTTACATTTTTGAAGTCATTATGCACATTGTTTTCTTGGTTCTACTTACTTCATTCTGCATTAGTTCATACAGATCTTTTCTTTCTTCTCTGTGTTCATCACATACATTATATTTTACATGACAATAATGTTCCATTACATTTATGTTCCTCAATTTGTTTAGCCATTCCCCATCAATGGGCATCTCTTCTGTTTCTAATGCTTTCTGACCATAAAAAGCGCTTCTATAAATGTTTTGGTGTATATGGGGACTTTCTTCTTACTAATAGGTTTCTTGGGGTATAAGGCAAGTAATAGAGTCTCTGATCTGATGGGTATGGATATTTTAGTCACTTTATTTGCATAATTCCAGAAATGGTTGGACTCTTCCATATCTCTAGCAATAATGTATTATTTACACTAAAAATTTAACAATTAGATCTGTTTGATTCAAACTGGCATTAGTATACCACAGAATATGTAGGTACACATAAATAACTATATGCATGTGAGTCCATATATATGCACCCAAATATGTGTGTATATGAACATAGAAAAATAAATGTGTATATATCTATATATACACATATACATGTATGTGGACTCACACATATATAGAAACAGAAACAATTTCTCTCTCTGTCACTCTTTGTCTCTCTCTCACACACAGACACACACTTATGAGGTGGTTTGGTAGGAAGGAGGTGAAGATCAACACAATTGGTATTGCTCTGAAAGTCTTTGAAGCATCAAGGAGAACACTGGAAATGGAAATAAAATGGGTGCCATTCTAGAACAAGATGACTAAGGATTGCCTTTCTTTTTCTTTGTATCCTCAGTGCTTAGCACAATGTCTGATGCATAATAGAGGCTTAACTAATTTTTATTGACTGACAGACAGTAGCATTCCATGCTAGGTCATAGTTGTGAATCTTTCATTTTTCTTCCCCTAGATACACTGAACCTCATCATAGTAGGAAAGTGTGCAGCTGAGAAGAGCTCAACAGGGAACACCATTCTTGGAAGGAAGGAATTTCTAGACCATGTTCAAAGAGAGCCAGTCATCAAAACCTGTAGAAAACATGTTAAGGACCTGGAAAGTACTATTGTGGTTGTTGATACCCCATCATTTTACCTTCCATTAGAGAGTGAAGAAGATCTCTATAAACAAGGAAGAGAGATCATTCGCATCCTTAATTTGCTTGAAGGACCCAAAGTTTTTATTCTGGTGATTCAGATGGGACAATTCACTCAAGAAGATGAGAAGACCATTGAAGTATTAGAAGCCATATTTGGAACAGAGGTCACCAAGTCCATGATTGTGCTTTTCACTAGAAAGGATGATCTAGAACCTTATACAATGGAAGATTACATCAAGAATTTCACTAATGAACCTCTTAAAAAGTGGATTGAACAATGTGGATACAGATTATGCGCTTTTAACAACAAAGAAAGTGGCCTGGCCCAGGAAAAGCAGGTAAATGAACTTTTGGAAATGGCTGATGAACTGGTCCAGTATCATGGAGGCCAAGGCTTTGCATTCAATTAACCTTGAAGCTTATGTCAAAAGAATCAAAATCACCAAAAGAGGCAGTGGAATATACTGTCATAGAAGTAAAATTTGTAATAATTTCACTTATTTTCCAGCTGCTGGAGTACCTGGGAATCCATTTAAAAAATAATATTGGTCTTTACATAGCACCTTAGGGTTTGCAAAGCTCTTTACATATGTTAACTCATATGGTCTTCACAACAACTCTGGGAGGTAGATGCTGTTATTATCATTACCATTTTACTGTTGAAGAAACTGAGACATAGAAGGGTGCTCACCTATCTTTACCTTACCTTATTTTACTTGCTAAGATCATACAGCTAGTAAGTGTCTGAAGGAGGATCGCACACAGGCCTTCCTGATTCCTATGCTCTATCTGCTGTGCCACCCTTCCCTACATACAGTGAGGATATTCTTTGGGACAGTCAGTTAGAAAACTCTATTTATCCTGAGAGTATAGAATTAAAACTTGTACTACACTTACGATGTTTCAGTTGATAAGTAAAAATGAAGACTGAGTAGGTAGTCAGTCTGGATATGATATCCAGCAGATTGTAATTCAAGGCTCAGCTCAGTCATTACCTCCTGTCAACCCTTTCTGAGTCCCCTTGGACTTAGCAGTCTTTTTCTCCTCAAATTATCTTGTATTTTACTCATTTGTCTATATGGTATACTTGCTTGAGTAGAATGTAATCTGCCTTAGGGTAGAGGCTATTTCATCTTTGTCTTTGTTTTAAGGACTGAGACCTCATTGGCCAGCCCCTTCATTCTTCCTCTATTATCTCATTTATTCCTTCTCTAACAGTGATCACCCTGGCCTCACTGATTGAAGGCCAAGTATATTACATTTCACCTATTTCTCAGGGGACTTTTAAGGTAACTTCCCTATAGTACCTTTAAGGGGATTTGGGAGTATCTAGGCTCTCTACCATTGACTCCAGGCTCCACTGAAGGTGTTCCCTCAATTTTAGGGGTCCCTGCATTACTGTTCAATTTAACCACTTACCAGTCAGTTTAGCTTTGACAAAGGAATATTTACTTCAAAATTTATGGCATGGATTATGTTTGGTTGAAGGAGATAATCTTTTGAAGAGCCAAGAAAGGAATAGAAGAATGAATTTACATTGCTTCATAGAAATGTTTTGAAGAGCTGAAACTCAAGCTAAAACTCCTTAAAGCCAAAGACCCATTTTTCTCTGACCTAAAGAACATACTTCACGACCATTCATGGCATATTGGGAAAACTTCTGACTCTAAAGTCTGAGTACTTGGTATTCACTATCCTGCTCCTTATATTTACTATCTGTATGACTTTTGGCAAGTCATTTAGTCCCCCTGGGCCTCAATTTCTTCATTTCCAAAATAACGGGGTTGGAGTAGATGGTCTCTGAGGTCCCTTCTGGCTCTAAATCTATGATCTAAATCCTTGGAGCTGGTGAAGCTAATTATAGCTAGGAAACAGTTTAGATTACTTTGATTATTTTGCTTTTCATTCACCTATGAATTTATTTAAATTTCACTATTTTGACTTATATACCTTAAACTGTTGGGAAGATCTCTGTTTCCAAAATTGTGTCAATCCAAGTGAAAGAGATTTTTTTGGTAACATTCTAGTTCCCATATATAACAAATTTTTGTATTGTAAGCAGAAATTTTTTAAAAAGGTGATCATTACAGATTGGTAATTACGTATATACATATAATACATATACATGTATAAATAGATTGGTCATTACATTCAGTTAATCAGTGTCCTAGAAACAAAGGGAACTAGAAAAGTGAAACAACTCTAATGTGCATCCAAGATGGGATCTTTTTGTTCAAAAATGGAGCTTGTCAGCCATCTTTGGTGGCGAACTGCTACTTTCTCCACTGTGCCCAATAGCCATCAGCGAAAGTAAAATCTAGGGGTTCTAACACCTAGAACTATAATGAATGCCAATGTCTTCATGCTTCTTCAACTTGCTGCTTTGAGACTATGGGCCTCTGTGTTGCCCACCTAGCACATGAAAAACCATCTTTGGTAATACAACTCTCTCAAGAACTAAGAAAAGTTGCCACCTAACTCCCTACTAGCTGTTTGGCAACTATTACCTTCCCCCATTCCATGTCCCCAATCCCTTTTCCTCACTAAATGACCTGAGACTCCAGGACTCCGTGCTTTTTAGATAGTTGTGAGGTGGAGATGGGGTGTAATGCACCTTGACACGTAGGTCTAAAGAGTCTCCCATTTTATTTCCAGCTTTCCTCAGACTTCCACTGGTTACAAAGAATATGCTTTAATAAATATTTTTAGCATAATGAGTTCTATGCCTGTGTCTTAATTTTTCCCCTAGGTCACTTAATCACAAAATAGAAAACAATTGCTGCTAAATGGAGAAAATAATATGAATAGAATCTGACCAAGTCCTCTTTTCAATTATTTTCTACAAACCTCAAACACTGGACACATTGGGAAAAAGGGACAGGGTACTAAAACATTCTTGTCCTTATTAGCCACACCAACACTTTATGAAAATCACCACATATTGTGAGCAGTCTGTGATTCTCATTTCTCTGGGTGTTTCTGCCATTTTAGAGGGATGAAATGGTCAGAGTGGAGCTAACAATATGACAGGAACATCCACAAGAACAAGAGAGTAGGTATTTCATGTTTGCATGATTCACATGTATGGAGGCAGTGCCAATATTAATACAGAAGGGAATTGAAGAACGGATTTACATTGCTCAGAGTAAATCACAACTCTGGCAGGCTCTGATGTCATCCATCCATTTAGTACTAACTATGCAGCAGGAAACAGCTTCTCTGCTCACTTGGTTATCTTTACCCACTCTTCAGCCATTTTCTTTTCTTCTATATTCCAACATAACATTTACAATCTCCTTCAACTCAAAGGCTCTCTTAAAAAGTCATTTAGGGGCACATAGGTGGCATAGTGGATAGAGCACTGGCTCTGGAGTCAGGAAGACCTGAGTTCAAATCCAGCCTCGGACACTTACTAGCTAGCTGTGAGACCCTAGGCAAGTCACTTAACCCCCATTGCCTTAAAAAAAAAAGGCACTTAGAATGTGTAACTTCTTAATTTAAATAGCAATTCCCTTCGTTCCAGACAACTGCAAAACTCATCAGGCTGGCTATCTCTGTATGATCTACAATAGTTCAGTAAGCTCTTTACTTATAAGGATACTGCATCATATAATAAGAATACAGCTCACAACAAATAGCTGAGGTAGACTAAATCAACCTGCTCTTCTTATACAGCAAACCTGGAGCAATACCTATCTTCTCCCACTCAAATCAGAGGGAGCAGAAAGGGAAACATATACTTCTGAGAAGCTTCATCTCTCTTAAACTGTTGATGGTACTGAAGGCAGCTTGGTGGTACAATGGATAGAGTGATGGGCCTGGAGTCAGGAGGATCTGAGATAAAATCTGGCTTCAGACATTTACTAGCTGTGTGACCCTGAGCAAGTCACTTAAGACTGTTTGCCTCAGTTTCTCATCTGTAAAATGAGCTGGAGAAGGAAAGGGCAAACCATTCCAGTACCTTTGCCAAAAAAAAAAAATGCAAAACAAATGGAGTCATAAAGAGTGGACAAGTCTTAAAAACAGCAAAAAGCAATAGCCAGAACTACAATCTTTATTTAGCTAAGCAGGAAAAGGAGCTAAAGCCTTCTGATCAGCTGACCCACTCACTGTTGGTGTCTTCAAACAGTTGCAAGAAACTGCTTTTGGCACCCTGTTCTTTCCTTTTTTTGATAGTTCTTCAGTTTTCAGCCTCATCCTCATCTCCTAGCTCCTATATAATTCAATGGCTTAACTCATACCTTCCTCATTCTCTATGAATCATCTTTGACTTAATTTCCCTAAGAAACTAATGGTCCTTTAAAAATTATTCCCCAATCTTCAAAAAGTAGTTTTTTTTTCATTTTTTGTTTATTCTCCATACTTATAAAACAATCATATGCTGATAAGTTGAGGATCCCCAAGGTTCTGCAACTATTAAGTTTTCATGACAGTCCTTTCTCTTATTTTGTGACCCTGGGCTGTATTTACTTCTCCATATGCATATTCTTCTAGTTTTTAATAAAAAAGTAATGTCTCTGCTTCTTTAAACCATCAAACTATTCACCTATAAATGAAGCATCATACTACATCATTTACAGGTTAGGCTAAGTATTTATACTTACATTACAGCTAATCTTCTACTCCAAATTTCTCAAATCTCATCTGAATTCTATTTCTTCACTCACATTTTACTAGTTGTTTTTTGAATTGTTATTATTACATCAAAGTTCTTTTCCTACCGCTTGTAGGCATCAAAATGGTCACATAAAATACTTGAAGAAAAAAGAGAGAAGAAAGAAAAATACTTGTTTGACTCCTTTCAGTCCTTACACTACACCATGTGAAAAGGGCCTTGAAGAGATAGTATCATGCATTTTAACCATTGAATAAATACCCAAGTTTTACAATTTCATTATATTAAAATATTCTGAGCTCTTGTGATCTGAACTGTTTTTTTTTGGGGGGGGTGTCTATTAATAGTCCATACTCTTATATTGGGTACTTGGCTATTTTGAAGACTCTTATCTTAAAAGTAGTTCTATATAATCTTTCAAACCAGTTATTAGAAGTTTAGAATAAAGGCATGGTACTTAGAATACTGAATTTGGAATATGAGTTCAAATTTGATCTGAGTTCAAATCCTGCCTCAGATCCATACTATCTATGTGACCCTAGGCAAGTCACTTAACCTCTCAGCCTCAGTTCCTTCATCTGTAAAATAGGAATAATAATAGCACCTACCTCATAGAGATTGGGGTGACTATCAAATGAGATACCATATGTAATGCATGTCTCAAACCTTAAATCATTGCATAAGTATTATCATTATTATTGGTGTGTTAAATCTTTATAAATTGACATAATACAACCATCCACCTGAAGGAGAACAACTCAGATATCCTTAGGATATCTTTATTTCCATCTATGGAGAAAAAGTATTCATATAAAGAAGTTCATATACTAACATATAAATTTACATAATCCACATAACATTTTGTCACAATCTAAAACTCTATAATTGAAAAATTGGTTTCTTAGAGAATAATTGAATTTTCTTCCACGTATATAGTAATTCTTTTCTTATTTTCTCAAGAACAGTACAATTTCATGAATTTCACAAA